TCTCTCTCTCACACACGCGCGCACACACACACACACACTCTCACGCACACACGATGTGCAAGACTCCACATTTGAACAGTCAGCAGAAGTGCCAGATTGTCATAGCAAAGTCAGAATTACCTCCTCTCCTAGGTTCACGAAACGGTCGTCCATAAAATGCATTGCTGTTCTGTTGTAAGTCATCTTAAAGATTCCTAAACGCATCTACTTCCGGAAGGCCAAATAAAGTGCTTTTGCTTTCGCCTAGAAACACACAGCGTCTCCCTGACATGCTGCTTCAACACTACTGCTGTTCCTGAAACCCCGCCTTCTTTCTTTGCCTGCACATTTTGGCGGCATTATGCTAATATTTCCACATAGTGAGGTAGACATGTGGGGGCGTGTTAGAACGAGCCGTTTTAGGGGGGTGTGGCATAGTCTTAACTTTGATAAAGAGTATCTCTTTGGATTTGAGACTTTAGTCTTTGCAACTTCAGGGATCTTATCTATGCACAATCAGCTTGTAACACTCCAAAGAGAAAGGAAAACTTGAAATCGCATCATTTGACCCCTTTAAGACTTCTTTGTTTACGTGCACTCAGAAGTAGGATCTAAACTTGTTCACACATGGATGGAAGATATTGATATGCATGCAATTTACAAGCTTCATTGTATTGCAGTCATGGTCAGAGGGACACTGCACAGATACTGCTCCTCAGGGGAGCCAAGTATTTGCCAGACAAGAATGGGGTTACACCGCTTGACCTGTGTGTGCAGGTGAATGCAGCACACCTATATTATATTCACTCATATGCAGGATACTAAAGCTCATGTGTAACTATTTTTAGGGTGGTTATGGCGAAACATGTGAAATTCTCATCCAGCACCATAGCAGACTGTTTCAGACACTGATACAGATGACTCAGAATGATGACATTAAAGAGAACATGGTACGCCTCTTTTTCTTATTTATGTTTCTTGATGAGTTTATGTACATGAGTGTCTTTTTACATGTTGTATATTATTTTTTTTAAGCTAAGGCAGGTTCTAGAATATGTTTCACAGCAGAGTGACTCCAGCTACCAAATGATCTTGACCAGCTTGGCTGACGTGGCCACCACAAACGGACATAAACTGCTGAGGTGTGTCTCAGGTTATCCACATTTCTTGAGAAATTGTATTATGTAGAACTTTATGCAAATCTATTTCTCATTCTGTTTCCATTAGTTTGTCCAGTAACTTTGAGTTCCAAACAAAGAGTTTGCTCCGAATTGTCCGGATCTTCTGTCATGTGTTCTGTCTTGGACCGTCCTGCCCAAACAACGGGAATGACATGGGTTACAACGGAAACAAGACACCACGTAACCAGGTTTTTAAGGTCAGTGGGCATTGCATTGCCAACAAAGTACACTCAGTATTAAAATCTGAAAATCCATCATAAAAATATGAACTTTAAACATGTTTAAAATGATGATTTATGATGGTCTCTAGGGTGGTCTATAATGGACATATTTTGCCACTAACAAAGTATTATCAAAAGTCTGTTTGCAAGGATATAACAGTGTCAGCAAAGATGCTTTAAAAAAAATAAAAGTAAACTTTTTTGGTGAGTCTTTTTTAATTTTACATAAATTCAAACTTTAATTATTTTAAATTATTGAAAAAAATAAAAGAAAAACATACATGGGTCAAAGACGAAAAAGGGTTTAAGCATAAAAACAATAACTGTAATACTGCTTTAAATTGTTGCTCCCCCCCAAAAAAAAAAAAACATTTAATTGCAATTTTGTTTTTCTGAGCAAAAATAAATATACATTTTTCCCTGATTTACAGAAGACACCCACTAAAATGTCATTCAGTGTGACAATCTTGTCAGGCATATTTACAACAAAAATCTATTTATGACATATTAAAAGACTAATTACTTTCACCCCAAATACTAATTAGTTGTAATTTTACATTTAAAAAATTTGCCACTATCCTAGGTTTTGCCCATTTGTCAGTAAGATTGTTTTACTCATTTAAAACACAGTCAAATTTAATATGCTCCCTTATTCTTTTATATATTTTAATTAGTGGTGTCAAAATTAGCGCGTTAACGCAGGCGATTAGCGCAGACAGTAAGATTTTTTTACTCATTTAAAACAGTCAGATTGAATATGCTCCCTTATTCTTTTATATATTTGAATTAGTGGTGTGAAAATTAGCGCGTTAATGCAGGCGATTCATTTTTTTCAATTTAACGCGTAAAAAATATTTAACGCAATTAACGCAGGGGCGGGGCTAGGGTTGGCCACTCCACTCACAACTGCTGCTTCTGTCACTTTTTCTCTTGACAAGAAGTGCATTTATTCAGTCGCAGGTACTGTGCTCGCAGCACGTGATCTTCAATTGCACGCACAAAGGTGCCGACGCACACTGTAGCCTGTATCCTTTCATAGCAAAGCGCGAAATAAACTATGTGCATGCAATGTCATGGTCATAGTTAAGTCATGAAGTTACCAAAAAGGCGATTAAAGCAGCCTTAAAACTGTGCATGCATGTAATATATTTTATATGAGTCACATTTAAGAACATGTCTCTGAAATGGTTTTCAAAACTGTCCTGGAGCAGCCCAGCACTGTCTCACTCATGTAACGCACCCGATTTAACTCGTCAGCTCATTAATAGAGACTTTAAGACCTGAAGTGGGTCAGAAAAGGTCAAAACAGTTGAGAGAAATATGATGCTTGTCAGAGCCGCATCACGTTCAGCAGCGGCAGCTCTTAAAGAAATAACAGCCAAAATAACCTAATAACCAGCTGCTGTGATGCCTATTAATCAAATGACAAAAAAAGAGGAAAAAAACATTTTGTAGCTTTAAGGATTCATCTATATTTAATTTAGAATTTAGTGTTTGATAACTTCAATTTCAATATCTGTATATTTCTGCTGAAGGGCACAGGTAAATATGACATTTATTGTAATGGGTTTATTGTTTTAAGTTCACTTAAATTAGAAGTTATATTTTAAAGTCTAATACACTTTAAAATTGATAGCTCTCAATTATACTGTAATGTTGAATGGCTATAGTCAATGGTTAAATATTAGGGGGGGGGGTGCAATTTTATAGAGAAATCAGTATTGGTATCATTGATACTGGCCTTCAATCATAAAAAAATATGCCATTAAACAAATATTTAAAAATATACTGTCTTTATGTTGTTTGTACATTAATTTGAAGATTGAATGTGAAATTATTGCAATATAAAACAATATTTAAAAACTTTAATGTTAGGTGGGATTAATCGCGATTAATCGTGATTCATTTCAGAAAAATGTGCGATTAGTTAGTTTTTTTTATTTTTATCGATTGACGGCACTAATTTTAATATGTACACGTCAGAATAAGCATGTTGTTTGAATTTTTACATCCATATTGTGTTACACTGAATGACGATGTAACATTATTTCAACCAAATTTTGACATTTTATTCTCCAAAAACCTTTTATTTATTTGAAACCTTAAAAGTAGACACTTTACTTACATTTAATGTGCTTTCTATGAACATAAAATCACTTTTGTAATTTAGTTTTTTATGCGGACATCTTAACGTCTTTGACCCACATACATACAAAATGCTATCTATTGTATGAAACTGACCAGAAATGTTATTTCCAAACGCAGTTATGCAGAATGCAGTTAAACACAATAACTAATGAGATTGTGAAAAGCATTCTATTTTACTTATATTGCGAAAAGGACTTTACTTTCTGAAAGGCCAAAAATGCTCATAGTTGAAACAATATCTGTACGTCAGTAAACATTTTTTGACTGATGATCCTTTCAGTCTGTGTTTTTATAGAGACTATTTAGAATAATTGATTTGCGGAAAGTCATGAGACAAGGTTTCAAATAAGTCCAATAAAGTCAGATAGATATTTACAATGTCATAGACTAGAGAGTGTATTTCTAAAAATCAATATATCACATCACCCTAGTGTCAAACACTGCAAAGATGGGCATGCAGGCTGCTGTAGAATGGAATAGTCTCTCACAATTGGAAATAGCAAAGCTGTCTCACAAAGCTCTGGTCTTGTACAGCACATCTGTGTTGAAGTGATGTTCTCTCGTGTTGCTGTCTAGCCTCTGGAGCTGTTGTGGCACTCTCTTGATGAATGGCTGGTCCTCATCTCCACCGAGCAGGATAAGGAGAGCACAGACGCAACAACCTCATCCTCAGGAAATGACATTGCGTCACTCTTCCTGAAAAAGCAGGAGGTCGACCCTTCTGTTTCCAGCGAAAATCCCCCACTGTTGCTGGACGCCAAGTCAGTGATGAAGACGCCGGAGGGCTACGTCGATGGTCAGGATGTCATCTCTATGATAGCCAATCGCCTGAGCGCTGTGATCCAGGCTTTCTACATGTGCTGTTCCTGTCAGATGCCACACGGGTAAGACTGACCTCAAACTTAAACGTTTCGGTAACACTTCAGTATGGGGACCAATTCTCACTATTAACTAGTTGCTTATTAACATGTGTAAGGGAAACAGGTCAATTTAGCTCAAAGGGAATTATTTTTGATTTGATAGGGAATTTGAACAGAATCTTTACGGCTGATCACTGAGTCGGCCAGCGATTCATTGAACGAGCCGTACAACATCAAATCTGCATGGATATTAATATCCAAAATATAGTGAAAACACTATTTATTAGCACAGTAACAAGATCGGCAGTTTAAGACATTAACTTGTAAGCACAAAACACAAGATACTTCTTGTTTCAATATAAATAAGGCTTTATTGGATAAATCTAAGACATGTAAACTAATTTAACACAAGCATATGCACTCATACATCCACACAAGTTGCATAAAGAGAAAAAGTGAGGAAAGAATGAGTTTAAGAGAGTGAAAATGTGAAATCCCAAGTTTATAGCAATATGTGCAATTGCATAGACCTGAACAACAATCAATCATTTAAGTAACCCTCACATTGAGTTCCTCAATGAGGCTAAAACTTATATTAAATGCACCAGTTCAGCTAGAATCTGGAGGTACTTGCGTTGCTTGTTTAAGGGTTCCCTTGTTGTTGTCGTAGTTGCAGAATGGGGTTTCACAAAGTTGCTGATTGGCTGGAAGTTCAGTAGCCGTTGAAGTGACGTCTTGGGAAGCCAATGGTTGGGCTTTGGCTGAAGATGCGGAGTTGTGGGCTGGTTGAAGTTTTGAGGCGGTCACAGACTCGAGGTGAACTCAAAGGCACGGCGTTGCGGCAAAAGTTAACTCGGAACACGAAACTATCAACGGAAAAGAAACTAAAGTAAAAGAGTAAAGTTTGACGACACTAGGTGGCGTTTCTCCTCATGGTTTTAGAGGAGCTGCTGGTATGCAAGCCAGAGCATGCTGGAACGGCGCTCGAAGAGTTCACGGGCAAAAAGCTATGGCTAAAAACCCTAATGCAAAAAGCGATGACTAAAATCATAATTTGATGGTGTCCTGAGTGTATAAACTGGGCTGTTGGACACATCCCAAATGATGTCTTGACCAATTAGACATGGTCTTAGCTCGGGGTGTTGCTATGTTTCTCCTCCCAATACATAAATCAACATGTTATCTTATCAGTCACATGGTCCGAATTTTCCCACTCTTGCAGTGTATAATTTGGGCATGATTTCTATAACAAGAATATAATACATTTTACAAAGTACTGATTGATAGAAACGTGTAAAGCATGCCAATTCAAACTCATTCATACCCAACATGAATATAATCTTATAAACTATTCAATAGTCATTCAAAATACATGATTAATCAAATGTGTGGGTTACATAAATAATATGGAGTTATGCATAGAAATGATTAGTTGCTCATAAGTCCTTTTTAGCATAATTTAGGTGCATATATACATGGAAAGGCAGTTTCTGTGCAATTCTGTGAATGTGTTCTGTCAGGAACAAAGAGGTTAAAGGTCTCAAAAGGAATCTCAGTCTGGTTCTTGTCCTGGTTGGGGGAAACCACCTAATGAAGTCTTTAGCTCCTGGTTTCTATCATGGATTTATATGTGATTGTCATGCTGTGCTTCTCTTTGACCATTAATCTTGGTTACTTGCCCCAAATTTGACAAACTCCTTCCTGAGTTGGAATGATCAATTATTCAGTTATTTTGTTTTAATGCTGTGAGCTGCTCAAAGCTGCTAGTTGGTGGACGTGCTTCAGACTGGCTGGCGCTAGGGTATCGTGGACAGATGTATGATGTTGTCTTGTTATCCTGGGCCTCGTTGTGGAATTTGGCTCTTTGGGTTGTTCCAACACCAATCTGATCGAATCCTAAATTTTCTGATTCTCTCTGATACCCCACACATGCATATTACTACCATATTTACTGTTTACGAGTACTTATAAAGCACATATTCTGCATGACCATATTCTACATCTTAATCCTACCCAATACTTAAACTGAACTATCTTACTAACTATTAATAAGCGGTAATTAGGAGGTTATTTAGACGTATAAAAGTCGTAATTAATATTTAGTTAATAGTGAGAACTGGACCTTCAAATAAAGTGTGACCAAAGTTTATTTGCACTTCACACAGACAATTTTAGAAACTAAACTGCAGAGAACAGCTTGTTCAGAAATCTTGAAACTTTTGAGATCTCGACCATGGACCATTGCTGAGGTCATGGGTTTGATCGTCAGCAGGAACACACATGGTGACAAAATGAATGGCTTGAATGCACTGTAGGCCGCTTTGGATAAAAGTATTGATAAAAGCATGTGAACTTTATAAGTGGAGCTAAAAGCTAGAGAAGTGCGGAATGTGACCCCTGTAAAGTTCATGGGAAGTACTGGAGAACCAAGATGAGTGTTTTAATAGACGTGTGCTCATGAGCTCATTCGGCGTGAGTGTTCATAATGTCTCTTCACCCCGACCTCACTGCCTCTCTAATGATAATGTTATTAGACCATTAAATCACTCTTTAATTAATGCATAATTTATAGACTCTCATGGGCAAGTCTGAGACCCTGCACACTCTTATTTCATTTTCATTTTTCTTCTCTGATATCTAGCATGACCTCCCCTCGATTCATCGAGTTTGTCTGTAAGCATGATGAAGTGCTCAAGTGTTTTGTGACAAGGTAAGTCAAGGGCATTTATTCATGGTAGTTTTTGATAGTTTTTAAAATCTTTTCTTAAAGGAATATATATATACTGTATGTGTGTGACCCTGGACCACAAAACCAGTCTTAAAGGGATAGTTCACCCAAAAATTAAAATGTGATGTTTATCTGCTTACCCCCAGGGCATCCAAGATGTAGGTGACTTTGTTTCTTCAGTAGAACAAAAAAACTAAGATTTTTAACTCAAACCGTTGCAGTCTGTCAGTCATATAATGGAAGTGAATGGGAATCACGGCTTTGAGAGTAAAAAAAAACATACACAAACAAAACCAAATTAAACCCTGCGGCTCGTGACGATACATTGATGTGTGAAGACACGAAACGATCGGTCTGTGTAAGAAACTGAACAGTATTTATATCGTTTTTTTACCTCTGATTCACCGCAATGTCCGAACTGTCCTGAGCTCATGACGCAATGTCCGAACTGTCCCGGCGCTTGACGCATTTTCTTCTTCTTGCTTTACGGCGGATCGCAGACTTATAAGTGCATTACCGCCACCTATCTCTCAAATGGACCATTGACACTCCTAATTGAGATTGTAGATAGAGTGTCCATGGTCCATTTGAGAGATAGGTGGCGGTAATGCACCAACTTTAAAGGTGATTTTCTCAATATTTCGATTTTTTTGCACCCTCAGATTCCAGATTTTCACATAGTTGTATCTTGGCCAAATATTGTCATAACAAACCATACATCAATGGAAAGCTTATTTATTCAGCTTTCAGATGATGTATAAATCTCAATTTAAATTTTTTTTATTTATTATTTTATTCAGCATGGACATATTAAATCACAGTTTCCACAAAAATATGAAGCAGTACAACTGTTATCAACATTTATAATAAAAAGAAAAGAAAATCAGCATATTAGAATGATTTCTGAAGGATGTGACACTGAAGACTGGAGTAATGTTGAAAATTCTGCTTTGCCATCACAGGAATGAATTACATTTTAAAATATATTAAAATAGAAAACACTTACTTAAAATTGTAATGATATTTCACAATGTTACAGGTATTAACTGTATTTTTGTTTAAATAAATGCTGCTTTGTTAAGCATAAATCTTTCAAAAACATTAAAGTCTTAATGACCCTGAACTTTTGAACAGTAGTGTATGTGGTATATTCAAAGTTTTCTGAAGTCACGTGTGATGAACAAAATTCTTGAGACTTAAACAGGTCATATGATGTGATTTCATGTTTTCCTTTGTCTTTGGAGCGTTGCAAGCTGTTCGTGCATATATAAGATCTGTAAAGTTGCAAAGATTAAAGTCTCAAACCCAAAGAGATATTCTTTCCTAAAGTTAAGACTCATCCACGCCTTCCTAAAACACTTCATTAAAACACGCCCCCACATATCTACGTCACTGTGTGGAACACCGCCCAAATATTTACGCAAAGACAGAAGGCGTAACTTTTATTCTCGCTGAATGTTTCCAAATATGGTAAGGGACGTAACATTTCAGTCACACGCTTGAGATATTCAGCCAATCACAACACACTGGATAGCTGGCCAATCAGAGCACACTGCGCTTTTCAGAACGATGAGCTTTGTAAAAATCGACGCGTTTCAGAAAGGCGGGGCATAGGGGAGCAACAATAATGTACGGTATGTGGAAAATAAAATGTGTTTTTTGAACCTTAAACTATGTAAACACATTGCATTACACCAAATACACAAAATAATGTTCTTTTTAGCAATGTCATATCATATGACCCCTTTAAGCACAATAATGAACACTAAGCATCTCCTCTACTGAAGCTTGCGTCCATTCTCGTACTTACTAAATACCAATTCTGGTTGCACCAATGCTAGATGCACTATGATAGGGCTGCATTAAAATCAATTCAAAATTTATTAAAAAAAATTATAAAACATCCACGAGTTTGGAATGACATGAGGATGGGTAAATAATAAAGTTTAATTTTCAGGTAAACTTTTCTTTTAACCTTAAGTTTAGGATTAGTGGTGTGTTTGTATGTGTGCACATAAATGTGTTTAGACCTACAATATACTGTACTTGTAAAACACTTTCTCACTATTGCTCATTTACTGTTCCCAGGAATCCCAAAATCATCTTCAACCACTTCCACTTCCTGCTGGAATGTCCTGAGCTCATGTCCCGCTTCATGCATATTATTAAAGGACAGGTAAGCATGATGAGAGACTGAAATAGCTCTTGGAGTTGATGTACAATTTGCTAATGAGATCCTGTCCCTGATTTGGACTTCATCAGGGCTCCTCAGCTCCCAAAGGGCCTGAACAACTTTTGGAGTTACGATGAAATCAAATTCGAGCCTATTTAAGAATCAAGAATAAAATATTTGCCTTCATAATATTTCATCTAAATGCATTAGAGGTATAGATACTGTATGTTTGATAAACTAAAGATTACCATTACATGAAAATTTGAATTTCAATTCATTTTAATACAACAAATGTCTGTATCTCTCTTCTTAAAATGGTGATCCTGGTGCTGTCCCATATCTTATCTTCTCAATGTATTATCAGTTCAAATTATGACACTGCTGTATGATTTTAATATATGAATACAGTTGCGTATACAATTTTAGTGAAAAGAAAAGAGGTAAACTTACTTGCTGTGTTTTTATGCAGGGCTCTGTTGCAAGATGATTTTCCACCTATTACAAAACTAATATTAGTTTCAACCCTAGTGTAGTTTTTATTTGAGTAATTTATCCTTCATTTGTAAAACTCACAGAATCTCACAAATTAGGGTGTCTATAGATATTCTAATAGGGTTACTGAGTAATATTGTCAAAATATAATGTCAAAAATAAAATATTGACCCACCTAGTTTTTGCCTAGCTCTGTTGCCAGATGATTTCCACCTATTACAAAACAATTTTTTTAACAATTGTATTGTTCAAGAATTGAAATCATTGAACAAACTAGCTAGGATCTAGTGAGTGACAATTTAATTTAGACTTAGTTGTTAACCCTGGTGTTTTTTTTTTATAGTAATATTTTTATAAATGTATCAATTTAATTTTGATAGAAATCACACCAATTAGTGTGTAAAAACTGTACCCATGCTAATATGATATAAATTGCAAACCTCGTAAAAGAAAATGGCTCGTATAATATTTAGTTTGACCTACTGAAGTTGTATTCAGTATCCTTGTGTGAAATATGTTTCTGGCCTAAGGATTCATCTAGGATGCAAGTGCAATAGGGTTTAGTGAATGTAGTAATTTTTTTTAATAGGTCTTTGTTTACCTCTCTTCCTTAGCCATTTAAGGACAGGTGTGAGTGGTTTTATGAACATCTTCTGGCTGGACAGCCAGACTCGGATATGGTGCACCGGCCAGTTAATGAAAATGATATTCTTCTTGTTCACCGAGGTAGAAGAATGTCTTCATTATCTGTTCAAAGGTTGCTTCATCTTTCAGGCTTCACCTCCTTCATTAATTTTTTATCATTGTATTTCAGACTCAATATTCCGAAGCAGCTGCGAGGTTGTGTCCAAATCCTCCAATGAGAAACTCAAACAAGGCATTGCAGTGCGGTTTCATGGTGAAGAGGGAATGGTAAGATTGAACATGTCTTCTGGGAATCTCTTCATCTCAAATCTTTTGCAGGGCTCGCAAAATTTCTAAATCCCTGGTAGCCCTTCGTGCAGGTACTCTTCTTCAGATTTTGGTAGCCCGAAAAATGAATTTAACTAGCCCAAAAAAAAAAAAAAGACCTTTTTTTAAATATAGAAAATCAGATAGGAGTTTAAATGTCAATCACAAATATTTTCAATACACAAATATCAACAAAAATTTTATTTAAGGCAATTTATGACCCATTTTAAGAGCTGCACAAGTAAAATGAACACCGTGTGAGTGGGGTTGAACAATGTCTATGGTAACACAGTATTGAGCCATAAAATTACATGATTTACAGTTCAGATACAGGTTTTCACAAAAACACAAATCTTATACAACAGCATTTCAGCCTTTAGACCGTTTTTATGAAAAGGGATAAAGCAAGCATATAAATTGTCAATTTAAAATGTATAAATATTACTGTCTTAAAGGGGTCATATGATGCTTTTTTTAAAGATCATTATTTTAAACTTGCAGTCGCTGATTCGGAAGCGCCAGATTGTCATAGCAAATTCGGAATTTACTTTTTTTTTTTTTAGTTTCGATTTTTAGAAGACACATTAACTTTTTTCTCATTTACAACTCTGTGTTTGCTGCGTAAAAACATGAGTTGATATTTGCATTGATCTGACCATAATCACAAAGAAAGGCTTATTGGAAATGCAAATTCATTCTTTGCCACGAGGTGGCACTTTAGGAGCGCTGAAATATTGCGGTTTCCCCGGTAATGGCTGCACACAAAGCAGCTCCGCACTCATAAACGCTGCTTTATCTGGAATTATAGGTCAAATGAAATTAAAATGCCAACGACACGTTTCTGAGGACAGTCGGTTCCCTTCAGATACATTCAAATAAAGACATCCGCGCCGCGTTTTGACTTGAAACGTGAAGCGCTCATATTTATTCAATGACGTCATTGCCTTTTGAAGTTTAATTCAGACGTATCGCGACGCTTGTCTTTCTGTCCCCAACTGTAAGACCTCTTGAAATTATACTTAAGACGTTTCTTATACCATTTAACATATTTAAAACTTTTTATGGCCTTACGTTTGGTGCAACTCACTTTAGGAGTTTTTAAGGACCCGCGGGAGATCTGCATTTAAGGTAGCCCATCGGGCAGAGTGGTGATACATTTTGATAGCCCGACTGGAAAACAAAATAGCCCCGGGACATCGGGCTAGCGATTTTGCGAGCCCTATTTTGGCACTCCCAGTCATGTAACCCTTTCAGGAGAGAGAAATGATGTGAAACAATAAGCCAAAAGAGACCATTCGTTACATTGATTCAACCACAGTTAAAGGGATAGATCACCCAAAAATGAAAATTCTGCCATTAATTACTCGCCCTCATAACATTCCAAACCCATAAGACCTTCGTTTATCCTTGGAACACACATCTTTAGAACACACTTTTTTTTTTTTGCTTTTGGAATAAATAGGATATCAAAAATCATATTCGTCATAGTCTCTTATTTACCACTATAGAAGTTTACCAAACGATGACAACTTCTCTTCTTGAGAATTATGGAAATGTCAAAATGGTCTGTGAGAGGCAGAGGTGTTTTATTCAAATCTGCCATACAGAGGTCCTTTAACACACAATATACATATATATGAAAGTATAAATGTTTAATAAAACTCTACTATTCAATAAAAGGTAAGAATATTCTCTGGGGGAAAAAATCTTAAACCAGCCTCAGTTCGGCTACCGTCGGACCAAAATGAGGTATCTTAGAAGGCAGCTTGTGATGCTTAAAATACTTTAGGTAGCTGCATATTTGTGCATATTATGCATATATTGGCTATTTAACCAGGTTTGAAAGTATTTTCGCTTGGATGTTGCTATAATGGAGTAGATCAAGGATTAATGCCATGAATAACTGTATTCTGTCCTTTTCTCAGGGTCAGGGGGTGGTCAGAGAGTGGTTTGACATTCTGTCCAATGAGATCATCAACCCGGACTATGCACTGTTTACACAATCAGCTGATGGTAAAAACCTTATGTACAATACGAGTCGGGGTGCTGCACCTGTCAGCTGTTTTTACTGTAACATCGCTCTCTTCTGTTGGTGATCTGTCACATTCATCAATTAATATGGAAAAGGAGTGACAGATAAGGATGCAATTCATGTAGTGCCCTATGAGTCGGTGTGATATGCAATTTTTTGGGTTAAGTTTCAGCTTAAGTTGTGGTCGCACACAGGCAAAAAAAAGTCTATTGTCTAGCTATTGTAGTGTGTCAGTGTATGAGACAAAACTCACAAGTCGCTTTCAAACCAAGCTTTCTGTTGAAACTTAAACCTGTTAAGAAATGTTTCACTCTAACACCGTGTCTACACCGGACGCAGCAAAATACAATAGAACTCATTACAGTCAGTGATGCTGTTTATACTGGATGCGGTGTGACAAATCCACACAGTAAACTGATGCCTTGTTCTATTTATGCTGTACTGACACGAAGTTCAAATGACTTGCAACGGTCGGTTTGTCGCGTCTAGTGTAGACAGCCTTTAGCGGCTGCAATGCGGTACGACTGTTGCGTCCAATGTAGAAACGGTGTAATGCAACATTTCTGAGCTCTTGGATTTGTATTGAGATGACTAGATTTCTCCATGAAAATAGGCCGAACAATGTAAATGCGTTCGCCCCTTTAAAGTCACTTTGTTTTAAAGTGTTCACATACTGTACTGTAGGTGTGATCAAATTAATTTCATTTTGAAATCTGCGTGGGGGAAATCGTTCACTCCCACATGGAGTTTGGTGATTTACTGTACAACAGTAAATGTGACTGTATCATCACAATACAAATTATATGCACAGATTTAATGGGGGGAAAAAATTACATTCTATAAAAACAGAAGTGCAAGAGAGGCCACCAGCCTGCTTTTAGCATGTGAGACCTAGCGCTTGCAGAAGGAAAAGATTGGATCAGATTTGTGCCAGACAATGGCTTTTTAATTTTTTAGTGTGTGAAGAAGCTCATTGGTCACTGCCAAGGGGAATCTTGATGTCGGCTGAGGGTCTGCAGGGCCATGAGCTCAGCAGGGAGTCGCTTGGGCCATTAAAGTCCTCCCGCTGAGAGATGTGGATGTTGCCTCTGAACTCTTGACTATGTAAATGAAGCTTATGACTGAAAATCAGCAAAGAAACTGGCTAGTGGGGCTATGCCTTTAGATAAAACATTTTCTCTGTCATTTATGCAGAAATAGATAACATTCCATTCTCTTCTCAGATACAGTGTGCTGTGTTTACAGTTCGTCAATGTTTGAATTTTTTTTTTCTCTCTCTCTCAAATACTTGTAAAGGTACCACGTTTCAACACACTGGGTCTGGCTCTCTACCATCGCCAGCTGGTGAACATCTACTTCACACGCTCCTTTTACAAGCACATACTGGGTAACCCACTCCACTCACATAGTGTTTATATCAGAGAATTTACTTGTAAATAGTTCTGTATCAGCACATTTTTATATTGAATCTGTTTGTTATACTTCTTTTTGCATGCATTCATACAGATTAGTAGGGACTGCCCTCGACTAAGGATTTTTTGTTTACAAGCACAAGAATAATCACAAGTATATCAGGAATTTTCATATACATCATGCCCAGGATTTGAAATTAACACCCGCCAAATGCGGGTAAAAATCAGCTGTGTCGGGTAACGCTGTCAAATCACTAGCCAGTTTGGCAGGTTACTTTTCGTAAGTTATGTTCACTCATTAATTTCTTTGGGACGTTCATCCAAGTCAAATCTGCGCAGGTTTAGCGCAAATACTGAACTCGTGAGGCTTCATGACATTGTCGAGTATATTGCAAAAACCAAACAAAACACACCTAAGTTACAAAGTGTACGCATACGCGACGTGATGTAGTCTGGTTAGACTAACTTTGTGCTGTGCGCATTTAGAGTGCATTCTTCCATTGCATGATTCAGTCTGTTAATATGCATTACGAATGATCACATAATTCAAGATAAGGGGGTTGGAAAATGTATATATTTATATCAACTCATATAGTTAATATCACACGAAGAGTGCCGTTTTTAAAAAACTAAATCAGCATGGTTACAAATGTGATATTGATTTTATACAACAGTTCAATAAACAATAAGTTAATATCAAGGTTCTTACGTTTTAGACACCATATTGGCTGTTTTTGCGTTATTTTGCCAACAGAAAACATTCCAAACACAGCGCTGTTTTGCGTCTCTGAGAAAAATCAGCCGTTTAAATGATTCGGTTCATTCGCAATGATTCACTTAACAGTGACTTGCTGCCATCTACTGGCGGATTTCATTTCACATTTAAAGTATCTTTTATTTTTTTAATTAATTTAAATATCACTATTCAACATTTCATGTTTAAAATATCAAAACATTATGTATGCATTTGTAACTGCAGGTTAAAGCATTCCATGTCCCTCTAAGCTGCATTAACATGTGTAACTACATCTAAATGCCACTTCATATTTAACCTCTGCAAAGATTAATTTTATTGATACTGATTTCATTTGTTTAGTAACAGCCTAAATGTAGTATTGTTATAATTGCCTGATTAAATGTAGTGTAATGTAATTTGACTCAAAAGATGATGCACACTTTCAGTAAAAATGGATTTATAAAGGTAAAAATGTCTATAAAAGGTAAAAATCAATCTAAACTTATTGGAAAAGATTAATTTCTATCACTGCTGTGAACTGACCACACACAATATGAAGAATATCAAAAACTTTAGGAGTCAGCTGTCCACTCTATCCTTAAGATATCAGCACAATAACACACTCTTTATCAATAAAATCCCAGAAAATATTGAGATATTATTTTTTGTCAATATCGCACACCCTTAGTACCGACACAAAATGATTTGCAACAGTCACTTTGTCATGTAGACAGCCTCAAGCTGTTGGTTTATTTAGTTTTTTTTTTTTTGGCTGGTAGAAGTTATGAATGGCCTGTAATTAAAAAATTTAGTAGCCAAATTGGCTGGTGAGTAAAAAAGTTAATTTCAATCCCTGATCATGCCAACAGAACCCATTTGCCACAACTTGATTAAACCAATATTCTGGTAAACATAGTCATTAACAGGAGTGTCTGCAACATGCAGATATGTGAAAGTGTGTTTGTGTGGGATCTTTGCAGGCATCCCAGTGAGCTATCAGGATGTGTCATCCATTGACCCAGAGTATGCTAAAAATCTGCAGTGGATTCTGGACAATGACATCAGTGACCTTGGCCTTGAGCTCACGTTTTCTGTAGAGACCGATGTGTTCGGAACCAAGGTAATATATATATATATATATGTATATGTATATGTATATATATGTATATGTATGTATGTATGTATGTTTCGGTTATATAAACTTAAAACCCTAGTGAAGGATCATGTGACACTGAAGACTGGAGTAATGATGCTGGAAATTCAGCTTTGATCACAGAAATAAGTTACATTTTAAAATATATTGAAATAGAAAGTTATTTTAAATTGTAATAATGTTTTACTGTATTACTGTTTTTACTGTATAATTGATCAAATAAATACAGCATTGGTGAGAACAAGAGACTTCTTAAAAAAAAAGAAGTCTTTATCATACTAATCTCAAACTTTTGGATGTTTTGAGTATATTTGTGCACATTAGAGTATTGCATTTTTACTTTAGCTAAAATCAAACTATTGGAATCAACTGCAGAAAACCGGGGTAAAATGAGCCAATTGCCTATATCATTTTTGAGTCGAATAGGCTAATATTCATAGCAATTAAAACTTAGTCGTTGTGTCTCCATCATCTTTTTTTAAATCATTTACACTTGCATGAGATGAAGTACCTTTTTTTTATTATTATTAGGGATATTTGCCCTCATTTTAGTCACTCAGACTGCTGAGAACAAAGCAGTCTGTCCATGATTTTGAAGTGAATGATGGTGCTTTTTTGTCTGATTTGTCATGTTTCTTTGTGTGTCAGGAGGAGTATGTGCAGCTGGTGACGGAGCTCAGGATGACCCGAGCGATTCAGCCGCAGATCAATGCCTTCCTGCAGGGCTTTCACACTTTCATCCTCCCCTCGCTCATCCAGCTCTTTGATGAATATGAGCTGGTCAGTAGATTCCTCCTCTCAGCTCTGCATGAGACTCCTGCTTCTATCTCTTTATATTCTCATGTTGCATTTTTCATTTGGAGTTTCCCTTTGCTATTTTTCTCTCCTGTGCTCACTGAAGAAACACACGCGCGCACACAACAACAGCAACCATTGTAGTATGGATTAAGATGAAAGCCCTGAACACCAGTGAAATGAGCAAGTTAATAAGCTCACTCATACACACAGTCTATACAAAATTAATCCACAACATAACCTGTGCAAATGCAAGCTGTAATATTTTGTTTATGTAGTGAACGCACAAGTAAACTGGAACCAAGTTACATGCTAATCATACATGTAACTCTAATATAGAGAAAATTAGCATCGATTTAATGAAGAATTCACAACAGAGGAACAACACAATAGTTAAAACTTCAGTATACGCATTTTTTCAGAAGCTCAGGCTTTCACAAGATACAACTTTTACATGTTGATAAAAAATCATATGCTATGCCATTTCAGTCATTAAATGCAATGAATGATTTTCAGACAGCAATATCAGACTTGATATAAGTGTGTTAGTTTTTGCACAAAGCCACAGCAGTTTTGGGATTCAGCAGTGTTACCCCAAAAAAGAAATTGTAATGATTTTATAACATGCATGTAATTCTAGTGATTTTTTTCTTCTTCTCTAGAACAGACATGACTGACTGAATGAATAAATAAAGCCTTCTGAAGATGTAACAGTTTTGTGATCAGTAGTTTTGTCATAAAACTTTTATTAAGTATTTGCTGACAAACTACCTCTTTGCTTGTACACTTAAAACACGGTGCCGCTAGATGCTTTGCACCAGGTTTGACATCAGGTATGGCGTATTTGAAACAACATGAGAGTAAATGATGACAGAATATACATTTTTGGAGAGCTGTTAAGAATGCACCAGAATCTTAGAATGTGTGTTTGATGGGGTGGTATGGTTTATGTTTGTGTGAGCAGGAACTGCTGTTGTCAGGCATGCCTGAAATTGATGTGATGGACTGGAAGAAGAACACAGAGTACACTAGTGGCTACGACTTGCAGGAGCCTGTTATACAGGTATCCCATCAGCACCAGCACACACAAAACATGCTGCTTCATAGAGACGGATGATATACATAAATAATACATATAAATATACATAACAAAACAGTGATGTCAAAATGTTTACATTATCACATTTATGGTGAGACCACTATTGCTAGTCAGAAGGTCCGTCAGAGATGACAACAGTAGCTTGGCAGAGAGTAAACTGCCTGATGGCTGTGGTGTAGTTATAAATGGCGATTAAAAACTATATATGAAAATGTGTACCAGTTGACAAGTATCTACCAGGCTGTGATTAGAGACTGTGTTTTTGTTGCAGTGGTTTTGGGAAGTGGTTGAAAATCTCACTCAAGAAGAAAGAGTCCTTCTCTTACAGTTTGTTACAGGAAGGTACGTATAGTTATTTCCTTATTCTGTATGCTGGCACTTCATGCTGTATAAATATTGTCAGAAAGTGACCCTTGTAAGGTACAAAATAGGGTTTGAAGATGTAAAAATGCCTTCCTTCCTCCTTTCTTTCTTTTTCTAAAAATGTTCCAGTGAAAGGAAATATTTAATACAGAAGCCGTAAACTGCAACATGAAAAATAAGACGTTTCCTATGAAAGCCCATTTTCTGCCATGGAATAATAGATTAAAACGAGTAGATTTGACTTTTTATGTCCCTCTCACAATTGAGATGAATGCAATTATGAAAAAATAAGTCACGTTTAGAATTTGTTTCTTCAGTTTGGATTCTGTTTGTTCAGAATTGCAAGAAACAAACTCCAAATTGTTACTTGTAAGTCGTAAATTTAAAAAAAAGTTATTTATGTATTTATTTATTTATTTTTCATGGTGGAAAAAGGCTTCCATACTGTCCTGATAAGATGCAACTGAAAAAAAAATATTATTATTATTGCTAGCTAACAATTTTTTTAAAACATAAAAAAATGGAGAGATTTATTTGAGAGAGAAAAATCAGAGAGAGAGAAGAAATTGGAGAGACAGAATTATTGGTTGGTTTAAAGAGTGTTACATATTTTGTAATGGGTTAGTTTATATTTATACAACGGATAGTTCCGGTCCTTGATTCTGATTGGCTGAGCCAAGTTCGAAGCTGTTGTAAATGAAGATGTAAAAATGCCTTCCTTCCTCCTTTCTTTCTTTTTCTAAAAATGTTCCAGTGAAAGGAAATATTTAATACAGAAGCCGTAAACTGCAACATGAAAAATAAGACGTTTCCTATGAAAGCCCATTTTCTGCCATGGAATAATAGATTCAAACGAGTAGATTTGACTTTTTATGTCCCTCTCACAATTGAGATGAATGCAATTATGAAAAAATAAGTCACAGTTTAGAGTTTGTTTCTTCAGAATCGCAAGAAACAAACTCCAAATTGTTACAATTTGTAAGTCGTAAATTTGTAATTGTTACAAGTGTAAGTTATTTATTTATTTATTTATTTTTCATGGTGGAAAAAGGCTTCCATACTGTCCTGATAAGATGCAACTGAAAAAAAATTATTATTATTATTGCTAGCTAACAATTTTTTTAAAACATAAAAAAATGGAGAGATTTATTTGAGAGAGAAAAATCAGAGAGAGAGAAGAAATTGGAGAGACAGAATTATTGGTTGGTTTAAAGAGTGTTACATATTTTGTAATGGGTTAGTTTATATTTATACAACGGATAGTTCCGGTCCTTGATTCTGATTGGCTGAGCCAAGTTCGAAGCTGTTGTAAATTACTCTACAAACACACACCTTTGTTTGCATTTGTGTGTTTCTTGGCAACCACTTTGTTGGAACCACAACCGTTTCTGAGGAACTACATTGTTTAGCGGAAGAATAATGTTTTTATTCATATCATTACACTTTATTTGCGCTGTTTTATTTTGTGAAACCTTACTACGTATATGGAATAACCATTTTATAAAAGCAATAAGCCCCGTGAAGCCGTGGTTTACAGTGAATTTATAACAGCTAAGGGGGATGTTTATAACAGCTAACAATGCCACTTAGCTGTTATAAATTCACTGTAAACCACGGCTTCTTGGGGCTTATTGCTTTAGTAATGTAGTTTACATACAAAATGGTTTCGGTAAAATGTGTACAAAAAAAAAAATATATATATATATTTGTTAAAAAAATTACCTACTCATAATTAAATGGCATTGTTGAATGATTATAATTGTAGCTGAGAGATAGCTAAGAGGGTCAAGACTTCTGAAGCTGAACAGGCCAAATTGCCCATTTTAAATCAGGTATGGTGTACATACAGACATTTGATTTATTTAAACCTAGATAATGTTTTATGCTGTGTCAGTGTTTCTGTTATATAATAAATGATTTGCTATGTCTAATATGCGTCACTGCCAAAAACATGGGATTTGTGCCTCTCTTTTAAGTGATACTGTTTTCTTCTAACAGTTCAAGAGTTCCTCATGGAGGATTTGCTTTTCTTCTGGGCGGCAGCGGTCTGCAGAAGTTTACTATTGCCGCTGTGCCCTACACATCAAACCTACTGCCTACCTCTAGTACATGGTAAGAGACAGATGGATAGTGTTGTTCAGATAGAAGCACTAGAGGGCAATGTGGCTCTTCTGATATTTCTGAGCTGTAAACACAGAGCTGCTTTAAAACATAATGATGAAGCACTGGAAGAGTGACAAAGACTAACAAATAGAAAAAAAAGTGTGTTTAATGAAACCGGTTTGACTCTCACAGTGTAGCATCACTTACCGATCTCTCTCTCTTCTCCTAGTATTAACATGCTGAAACTCCCAGAATACCCCAGCAAGGACGTCCTGCGTGATCGTTTGCTGGTTGCACTGCATTGTGGGAGTTACGGATACACCATGGCGTGACGCCGGCTTCTGCGTTTGCTGAGAATTCTGCTCTGTGGACACACGACGCACACATGGCTCAGTTCAGGGATACTTCCAACACTTTGATTCAAAAGCCTTTATATTTGATTTATTTTTGGCACGAGGAAATTTATGACAAGGACATCAGTGAATAATGACATGAATTAATGATACTTCAGGCACTGAGGCTGTTTTGTATATGTGAAAAAGATGTTCAGGTCACATTTCGCAGTAAATTCAAAATAAGGATTTTTTTTTCTGTATTACACCAAATGCAATACTATTATACAGGTGTTTTTTTTATTAGTATTATTATTTATTAAAATATTACTTTTGTAATGTACACACACACACTTGACACACACCGTCTAATTCATCATAAAAATAGGTTATGCATTTGAATATATAATTTTTTTAGTGAAATATGACCTAGACATGCTCTTCACAGGTTTCTTGAGTTTCACTCTTACATATTTGCCAATGACTGAATCCAAATGGCCTGTTACATGCAGAAATCATATTTCTTTTACATTAATAAATGTACTCCAGGCTGTATTATTTCAGTTATACGATGCTGTTCAACTCACGCCATGCTTGAATTGCATGTGTGTGCGGATACGTGTGAGACAGTGAAATATCTATAGCTTGTATCACAACTGTCAGCTGTCAACACATTATTGAAAATTGTAATTTTGAGCAGTTGTATTTTTTGTTTTGTTTTATTTTTCTGTTGCGTTGTTGTATTGGTCTCTTGTGGCACACTTTCAGTTAGTGGTCTGGAAAGTTCTTTACTCATGATTATTGTGCCATATATATTTTGATGTACTCAAATGTATTTCGTTATATATGGGGTTGTCAGCATAGTCCAGGAATTCTTAATTTTATATTCAGTGTCTAAATTGTTTATGCGCAGTCAAGTTATTCAGTATGAATTATCAAATAATGTTATAGGTGTGCCAAATATTTTCACAAACAAATCATATAATTTCCTTTTGTAAAACAAGGACATGTCATGAAATGATTTTGCAAAGGGAAGTCATATCATTTTAGGAATGTATCATATATTTACTATTGGTTGTGGTTAAAGTGAAAATGTGTATATATATATATATATATATATATATATATATATATACACTTATTTATTTTGATTTATCAT